TAACTCATTTGTATATGTCAGAATATTATTGTTTAACAATTAATAATCATATTTAAAACCACGAGTGTTGGTCCAGCCAAAACTTCAAACCAACCTCCAAAGTCTGGCACCTTGACATTTCTAAAGCCCTGTAAACAAGTTTGAGAACATGGAAGTCTCTTCGCTGTCTTACTGGTAAACACCCTATCCAATACAATACAATTTGGTTTGGCAGAGCAATTCAATTCAAGAAGGTCTGTAGTGCTAAGTAGACAACTCAGCAGTGGTTCAAACATTGGGCTTATCCCGTGTCAAACTAAATCCATAAATTCCTGAAATATTTTTTCAGAAATATTTGTTGCTTCATTTACAGCTGACTTAACACTACATTCCACTCTCGCGTGACATCAGTTTTAACGTCGTGCTTCAGTTATGCTTGTGTCAAACCCAACTACAATGGAGGGCCATTCAATTTACTACACACCTCCCCTTCAGTTCACAAAGGACTATAAAATTTTCCTAACCTTCAGAAAAATCCTCTTTTTCCCTAAACACTCCTAAAAAAATATATCGATGAACAGATATCCCCTCAGAAAAATTGCCATATGAGTCAAAAAGCCAATCATATTGAAAGTTCCAGTTCTCCTGGTAGTCGCAGTGGTTCCGGTCGTCCCCGTCAACCCAGTTATCCTAGACTTCCAAGTTGTCCAGTTGTCCTGATTCTCCTGGCTGTCCACGTTGTCGCAGTTATCCTGGGCCCAACTGTTTGAAGGCCGGTTAGCGCTTAACCTGGGGTTAAATTTAACCCGGGTTTCTTGTTCTTGTGTTTTAAAGCATTTCCTCGGATAATTTTCCCTGTTATTTTTAGAGCTTCCAATCATCAACTTGTAGACAAAAAAGAATTAAAACTGAAATGCTTTTTAAGCTTTCAAATCTGAATTCAAATCTCGGACTAACCCGGGGTTATCTTAACCCAGCTTTGAACAACTCAGCCCAGGTTGTCCCGGTTGCCTTAGTTGATCCAGTTTTGCTGATTGTCCCTCTTGTCCCAGTTTGTTGGTTGTCACGATGGTTCCAGATGTCTCGCTTTGTCAGTTGTCTCGGTCGTCCCAGTTCTCACAGATACCCTGGATTTCCTGGTAGCCCCAGTTGTCCTTGCCTGCGTGCAGACGTCTCCTATTTCCTTTGTTGCACGCGGAAAGGGATGTCTGCGTAACGCCGTCGCTAATCATGTTCCAGCGTCCCGCTGGGTTCCCAAGATCTTGGGAACATGCTGTGATAGGCTGACGCACAGTCCGCATTGTTCTACTTAACGCTGATTGGTTGTTATTGAATCTGGTCTAATAATGTATGCAGTGATTTATGTAATCGGGGTTTTCCAGTCAAAACAAATCAAAAAATGTGCCATTGTGTGCAGACCGTACAAAAGCGACGTGGACTTCGCACCAGGCAGGCATTTCGGAGAAAGCCAGCCAAAAAAACTAAAATCTTTATTTAGCCGTAACAAACAGAGGTCAAAGAAAATTTAAACACTTCAGAACTGCATCTGAAATCAAATCCTATCAGGAACACCCACAGAAGCATAAAGCACAGGAAATGATTACTCAGTGTGCATGTAACAAGCCTGCTTCATGACCTCTAAATGTAAGACTTGGTGCGGCAAAAACGAGATTTACTCAGTCAAAATTTAGACTGCTACCTGCACTGTGTAGTGCGAGAGAGAAAAGAAGAAAAACCTCTGTTCAAGCAGACTCTCAAGGTCACGTTTCGCATTATCACGAGCTTATGATGTTGTGTTTGGCCTGTCAACTCTTATTACTAACCGGATATTATTTCACAATTTATGCGAAATAGAATTCC